ATAAGAGCCAATAGTCTGAAGTTAGACATCTTACAAATATACAAGGCATTGCAATCCGAAAATGGAGAGCACTGCAGACAACCATGACGAGAGCAGTGAGATCTCAAATGCTAGAGCAATAAATTTTAGAATTCTCTTTTTATTTGAAAAGTTCCATAAACGTACCAAAACCAAGAAAAGCAAGAAAGAGCATTATGGCAGCAAGAACAATTAGGGACACTCTCCTGCACCGTACAGACAAGATAAGTCAGCAAAAGAAAGCATAGCAAATATAAGAGTTCCGTAAGAACTTTTACTTACATGCCGTCCAGACCCTCTTGAATATTTTGCGAATTCTCCATAGTTTTGTTTGAAAGGGTTGTAGCAGAAGAGTTAATTTTGTTTTGGATATCATCAATATGACTCTGAATATCTGGTTGTAAAACAATTGAATCTACCTCGATCTCCTGAGCCGCAGCAAGATAATCTGACACATTCCTGAGGTTTTCGGCTGTAAGATTTGCCTGCTTCACAACGTAATCCAATGTATCTGTGGTGCTGCCGTGAAACTTTCCTTGACCAGTGTATAAAACTGCACAGCCAACACTGAAAACATAAAAAGTAAAACGTTAGCAGAGTGAAAACATACTTGTTGGGGAAAAACATAAATGAAAAAGTTATAAGCAAGGGATAAAGAAGAGAGGTACATTGCAGCAACCGTGAATAATATGAGGAAAATGAGAGCCAATGCATATGCTACTCGAGAATAGCCATAAGGCGGTCGCGGGCAACAGCAGTAACAAAGACATATAAGACACAAGCTTAGTCCGAAAACCACGAACCAAACTCCAGCTATAACGAAAAAGGGAGCGGCAGTGAAAGCCACAGACTGCATCACATAAAGGCAATAACTCTATTAATCACAAAGGCCAACTTGACCAATTAAATAATAAAGAGACTAGCAAACAAAGATTTGATACTTAAAAAAGGAACGAAAAGCAAGGCAAATTGCAAGAATTAATTTTTAAACTACTTACAAGAAGGCTATTAATTAAAGGAATAAAATGGTTGAATCTACTTTGAGGCATTCACAGCTTGTCCATCAATGAAAACTACCATTTAGAGATTAGAGACTTTTTATGCATAAGCACCAAATTAATATGACATCAAATAAAAGGTTTGCAGAAACCCTAGTCCTAAACTGAGAAATACAGCCAGTAAAAAAACGATTCACAATGTGGAAATGTGCTAAACCAGTCTCTAGAAATTTACAGCTAATAAATAAATCTAAGGAAAACCCAGATAAGAGAAACATTATTAAACAGAAGAAACCTCAATCCATCTAAAACTAATACTACCCAAATGTCAAAATCTCAAAGCAAAAGATCCAAGTAAAAAGAAAGAGGTGGAGGTGAAAAGAATCTCACAGCCCAGTAGTGATCATTGCTGATATTCCAGCCACCAGTGTATCTCTTAAAATTATCAAGAGGGTCTTTCCTCTTGGTTCTTTGGTCAGCCAAAATCAGAGATGAGTTGTCTCCACTTTCCTCCGCAAGAGACCTCTTTGACATCTTCCATGGCAGCACTTCACCAAACTCTCTCTCCTCCCCTATCAATCAAAAAAAAAAAAAGAAACCCACTACTTAAAACAAAAACAAAAAACAACCCCAAAAAAAAAAAGAAAAATACCTGAAATGTCTGAAGCTAAATAGGTTCCAGAGGTTAGAACCGCCGAAAATAAGAGAGAAACCAAGAAGATTATGAGAAAAAACCAAGACCCTGATCTGCATAGCATAATGCTCTTTAAGCTTTTTTTTTTTCTAATAATTTTGTTCTTTCTTCCTGAATCCTGGGCGATAAAAGAGAAAAAGAGGGGAGGCGAGGAGTGTAAAATTGGCAGAGAGAGATATACAGGGAACGAGCTTTACGGTGAAAAAAATGAAAAGCGCAGTGAGACGTATTTAACCCGTCTGCCATTTTGCGCGTTTCATGAGGACGAAGATGCCCCTTAAGGCTTTGTTTGGCTTCTCCGCGTGCGGGATTTTCTTTTGTTTTTAATAATTTCATTTACTTCAACTGGAAAGTTATATTAATGTAAGATAATCAATGTGTTTATATATATCTATATCTATATATATATATATATATTCAGTTTTTATAATTCGCAAAAAAAAAAAAAAAATATATATATATATATATATATACGATAATCAATGTGTATACTTATCATAAATCTAAATTCATTAATACCCTTCACAAATTTTAGGAAAAAATATATTTAATTTTAGAATAAAGTATATTTTAAAATCACATAAAATTTTGGGCCGAGATACTATTTCTTTATATAACACGTGGCATCCTAATACGACATCGTTTTACTTTTACGAACATACACTTAATTTAAATTTATTTATTATATTATATAGAAATTATATTATTTTTTAAAAAAAAATTTAAATTAAACCCATTATTATCATATTTTAAAAAATTACTGAAATTAAATTTAAGAGAAAAAAAATATCAGAAATTCAAAAATTAAAAAGATAACGTGTCTGCCATTATTTATATATATATTTATTTAATATTTTATATTAATTTTATATCACCCGCGTACCTGTCAATTCCTGAGATTTCTCCACGTGTCCCCGCCACTTCACATGATGTTTTTATATTTTTATATTTTTATATTCAATTATTTTTAACTTTTATTAGATTTAATGGAATTATGACGTGTCTTAATTTGACTCATTGCGTGTCCGTTAATTTTTTTTAATAAAAATATTATTTTAAAATTTTATTAAATCACAACGACTATTTTAATTAATAAAAATAATATAAAATTTTTTATATTATTTAATTTATTTGTTTGACGTGTCACTATTCCGTATAATTTCAACAGCCGTGGACCCCACGCTGAGGGAGGGTAAAAATGTAATTTCAATTAGTTCGTTCGTTTTTTAAGAGGTCGTGTGAATTCATCAGCAGTTGTAAGTTTTTTCTTAAACAAAAAATAAATAAATAAATATTTTTTTATACTTTTGAAAAATAAACATTACTAATTATTATAAATTTTAATATAAATAATCAAATTATAATAAAAAAATATTAATTTTCAAATTAATATAATTTTTTTTAAAATAAATAATATATACACTTACTAAACTATTTATTAATTTTCACTATCAATATTTTAATTTTCGAGAGATTGCACGTTAAAAAATACAACATGTCTTTTGCGAAACGAGTTCCTTGGCGAATATCGGCTCGCTCCTGCATCCATCTACGGAGATTTTGCACATCATTCGTGAAAATCTCATTGGGGTCTCTTGACATCGATCGTGTTTTTTTTAAGCTCTCTACTTTTATGTTGCTTTGTTTTTCTTCTTTCGTGATCTAAATATATGCTGATTAAACTCGAGTTTATTATTTTGTTCTTACGAAAATAATAATTTATATTAACAAGTTTGGTATAATAATGATGTTTTTTTTTAAAAAAAAATTATTGTTCTTACTTTTAGACCAAACGAATTAATGGATTAGACCCATCTAGCATAATTGATTTTTTTTTCACCTACATTTAAATTCATCACATATTTATATATATATATATATATGTATGTATGTATGTGTATTTACCCAATTTAACCTAATAATTATTACATAAACTTTATATATATTATCTTGTAATAACGAGATAGATAAGTACATTTTTTTCCACCCCCAAAAAATGATTTTTATAAATAAAGTTATATATGGACATTATGTGGTATATCTAAGTGTTTATGGGTTGGGTTAGCATGCATTACGGACCATTAAATTAATACAATTAGTAAGTTCCTAAGCCCATATAGAGATATACAATAATTTATAAGCGTACATAAATTTATTAAAAAAATTCAAAACTTTATATTATAAATGTACACAACGTGACATATTAGTAAAAGATATATTTAAGAGATATATAATTAAATTTTTTTTAAAAAATAATTATTTATCTATTTTATTCGATATAAATATTTATTATTATTTTTAATTTAACCCCAACTTGTTAATTAATTAAGCAGGGTAGGTTTTGACTGGTCAAATACTTTTTACTCTTCTTCTCTAATTCCAAGGCAATACGGTGTCGTTTTGTCTGTGATGGTCAAAGTCAAAGACAACCCTCTACTCTACTTTAGTTAACGCCATTGTCGTGACCATCGCAGTGACAAAAGTTATGGGGTTTCGTAAATTCATAGTGACAAAATAATATAATTTTCTCCCACTAAAAATATATATTATAATATAAATATGTACGAACACACACAACTTGCTATTAAATATATACATATATATATACACACGCACGTATATATATGTAGTTAAGGGTTAATATATAAGCTTATATATAAATGTAGTACATTGTGTTTGCATGTGTGAACATGCATACCAACTTCATGCATTTGCCTTTCATACACATACACATTATATATGGACTGTACGGAATATACATATACATATATATATATATTTACACACACGAGATCTGCAAATTAAACGTAGTTCTTCACAAAATATAATTCGTCCATCAAAAGGTCTAAAATTAAGCATCTACTATATATATATATATATATATATATATATGCTATGCACCTGTCTCTTTGATAAGATGAATGTTGGTTATGTAACTTTGCTTGTGCAAATTTAATATAAATATGTGTGTATATATATATATATATGTGTGTGTGTGTTTTTGTATGTGCATATATATGTATATATATATATATATATAAAATATGAAACTTCCCATAACTTGGAAGTAGGAATCACGTGGTGCCATGGGGACAAAATCCCTCCTTACAACACGACCAATCATAGTGATTAATTATATTTTAATTAATTAATTAATTAACTTAATCACACTAGTTGGTAAAATTAATTAATATTAAAAATATTATAAATTTAATTAGAACAAATTTATGATAAAATTAGAAAAATTAAATCTCTTTTTTTTTTTTTTTTTTTTCTTAATTATTATAAATTTCTAACACAAAGGAGATCGATGAGGAATCCCTTTTCGTCTACTGATCAAGCTCGTAGCCATGTCTTCATCCGAGACTTTACTGGCGGATCTTGCACACAGATATAAACCGCTTCTCTTCTTTCGAACGATGTTACGATCGGCGCATGTCATCGGACTTACGCAATTCTCCGAGCCAGACGAGGTGCCGGAGCTCGCGGGTTCGTCACTGTCGACAATCGTCGAGTGAGGAGTCTCGTAGTTCATCTCATCGTCTCCCATGTCTTGGGGAATCAAGAAGTCTGGACTGAGAGTTAACGTGTTGCAGACTCGTAAATATGGAGTCAGGTCTTTATAGTGTTTCAGAACAAAGTCTACCTGTAAAATATAAAAGAGCAAGTGAGATTATATATATATATATATATATATATATTTCTGAGAACTCAAAATTTATAGAGAAAAAAGATTACTTCAATTTATTATTTATGCATGATAATGAATGTATATAAAATATAATACGAAATTATTATATTCAACTACTAAAATTCACTTAATCACTATTAATTGTTAAAAATATAAATAATAGGGTTAAATTTATTTATTAAATTTCAAAATTTGAAAGTACTAATTGATAATTTTTTATTTAATTATTATTATTATATATATATATATATATGATGCATTTTAGATATATATAATCAGTAATTTATTTTAATTAGAAAATTTTATTAAATATTTATATCGTCCTTAAAGGAAATTAATTAATAAATATATACATATATATATATATATGTAGATGTAAATAATGAAGTGTTTTCAAAAAATTATGGGAATTTCGTTAACTATTCTTCGTGACCACGAATTCATGCACCCGAAATTAAGAGTTTTCAAGAAGGGAATTACAGATATATATATATATATATATATGATGAAAGAATGAGCTATACATGTACATGTATAAACACACACACACCCACATATATATATATATATATATATATATGTATTGTATACGTACCTTGCATCCAAGAGAACAGTGGATAAAAGGTTCTTGAAGACTTCTATCACAGGAAGTGCAGTAGTTTCCCGCTCCTTTAAATTGCCTGTTTTGAGGTCTTTTCTTGATGAACACCACCTTCGCACTATTTATTGTATAAGCCTATATATATATATATATATAATCAAATTTAATCAATTACCAACTAATTAATTCACTTCACCCTGATTTTATATCCATGTGTAGATACATACACACACATGTATATGAACATACACAAACATCATATGCAGTTTAGATACACATGTATAATCAAACTTAATCAATTACCCACTAATTAATTCAGTATTTTACGTGCATATATACATTTATTATAGATATATATATATACATATATACTCGCACAAACAAACATCAGATACAGTTTATATGCATGTCTATATATACCTGAACACTGGAGCAGTCGATGAGCTTCTGGAGATCTTCGAGTCGAACAACATCATGGTAGACGTAGCGGCGGACCTGAAGAAGTCTATGGAAGCGGTGGGATGGAATACAGTGAGGGCAAATGCTTATACAGCAATCCAAACAGCATACATTCTTTTCGTTCTTCTTTGAAGTTTCATGGTAGGAGCAGCCCGCGAAGAATCTCTCCCCGTACAGAGCATCCAACCATGCCGGCCTCTCAATTCCCTGCATATCATTTTATTTATACAGAAACGCAGAATTCAATCACAGACACGAACACAATAATGTATGTATGCGCGTGCGGGAGAAGTAAAAAAGGAGAAGAAGAAGCTGACCATGATGAGCATAAAGGAGGATATGGAGGTTGGTTTCTAGGGTTAGCTGGAGGTTGTTGTTGATGATGATGATGATGATGATGATGATGATGAAGAGAAAAGGGAAAGAGAAGGGGAGAAGAGAAGAGTATTTATGGAGGACGGATGAGAAGAGAGGCAAAATATACTTATAATTTTCCTTGGAGGTATAACTTTTCAATATACGCACACAAGTAGCCTATGGTATGCTTGATTAATTTCTTAATTAAATTAATTAATTAACTAATTAAATTAATTAATTAACTAATTAACTTTGAAAAGCAGTAAATAAAAATAAAATGAGAAAGAGGAGAACGTGGGAGCTGTTTCTGTGTCTCCCATTCTCTTTTAAACAATTCAATCTCATCTTCTTGGCTTAAGAGCTCTAAATATTTTTCCCAAACTTAAACCTTGAACCAGCTGCATGCCTCTTTGCCTTCTCTTATATTATCTATATATACATATACATACACACACACACACACATATATATATATATATACACACACACATTGAAACTAACTAAAGAGATATATATTTGAGTTTTATGTGAGATACGAAACCCTAGATCATTTGGACCATTATATATATATATATGTACTATATCTTTTAAAAAATTATATTATATTACATCCATAATTTCCATATATATCATCCTCTGTAATTAAACAAATTTTACTCATAATTAAAATAAAATTTTTGATCGAAACTCAGTATATTTCTATAATTACATAACACTTACATATTAATAATAATCGTAATTCTTGATTCACTAGTATAAATGAGTACCGATTTTTTGTTTTTTTTTTTAATATAAGAACTCATAATTAATAAATTACGAGACAGGTACGAATAAAAATTTATAAATTTAAAATGAATATGCATTTAAACTATGTATGAATTTATAATTTTATTAACAAATACGAGATAAAAATTGACGTAAATCTTCTCGTTCGTACTCATTTCTATATACGAGATATATAATGCTAATTATAATACAATTTTTCGGATCCTTCATAGTATGAAATGGAAGTACGTTATATAAACATGAAATTATTTGAACAATTAAAATTTCATTTTTAAGTTAGTCGGCAAATTAGTTCAAAAGACACTACGAAAAAGCAGTTGCTTTTACTGTCAAAACCCACTTCTTCTTCTTTTTTTTTCCCCTTAGCAAAAATTATGTACGATATATATATAGGCAAAGCACTGCTTTCTGATCTGCACGTCTCTTAATCTTTTACTAATTATATAAACTCCAATTATATTACTCTAATATAACTTCAAAGTGAAGTAATTACGGCACAGGGCAAAGAGTAAAAGCATGAAGACAATAGCAATACATACTTTTACCAAAAGCTCAGTAGTTAATTATATATATACATATATATATATATATAGAAAGAGAGAGAGAGAGAGAATTATTTTTGGTGGGGATGATGGAAATTTCTATCACAACCCAAAACCTCACTAGTTGATTATATATATATATATATTATAACCATTTTTTGTGGGATGATGTTAAACTTTCTATCAAATTATGATGGATAATTTAGAATTTTTTGAAATTTTTGTTGATTATATATATATATATATATATATATATATGAACCAAATTGATATCTCCGATCCACTGGACATTCATCGTTTCCAAGAACTAAAAAAAATTAGTATATCAAATTAAGAGAGATTTAAATTATGATGGAGGGTGGTGACAGCAGTAGGTAGTCACTGGTCTCAACACTAATTAAATTATATGATATCAAAATTAATAAAGATAAAAAAAAAAACAAGTTTAATTGTGAATTCCCAGAAGTTACCCCAGTAAGAAAATTATGGCTGTAGCTTAAGAGTTCTATGAACAACAAACTAGGCATTCCATCTATGTATATACATATATATATATATATGTTGTTAATGAGGGAAAATTTTGAGAATACTTTAACCTAAAATTAAACTCTCAAAAACCCATATAGTTAAAACTCTTGTTTTTACTCTGTGCGTGTGTGTATATGCACACACACACGCACACGTATATGTGAAAAGGTGATAAGGGCATAAAATTACTCTCAAAACCCATATAGGTAAAACTCTTGTTTTTACTCTGTGCGTGTGTATATATATATATATATATATATACACACACACGCACACACACATATATGTGAAAAGGTCATAAGGGTATAAAATTACCCTCAAAACCCATATGGGTAACAGTATATACACACATACACACATATGTGAAAAGGTGATAAGAGTATAAAATTACTCTCAAAACCCATATAGGTAAGACTGTTATTTTCACTCTGTGTCTGTACACACACACACACACACACATATATATGTGAAAAGATGATAAGGGTATAAAATTACTCTCAAAACCCATATAGGAAATACTGTTATTTTCACTCTGTATGTGTCTGTATACACACACACACACACACATATATGTAAAAATGTGATAAAGGTATAAAATTACTCTCAAAACCCACATATTTAAAATTGTTATTTTCACTGTGTGTGTCTGTATATACACACACACGCATATGTGAAAAAGGTGATAAGAGTATAAAATTACTCTCAAAACCCATATAGATAAGACTGTTATTTTCACTGTGTGTGTGTCTGTGTATATACACACACACATATATGTGAAAAGGTGATAAGGGTATAAAATTACTCTCAAAACCCATATAGGTAATACTGTTATTTTCACTCTCTATGTGTCTGTATATACATACACACACAAACATATATGTGAAAATGTGATAAGGGTATAAAATTACTCTCAAAACCCATATATTTAAAACTGTTATTTTCACTCTGCGTGTCTCTGTATACACACACACTCACACATATATATATATATATGTGAAAAGGTGATAAGGGTATAAAATTACTCTCAAAACCCATATAGTTAAGACTGTATTTTCACTCTGTGTGTATGCATATACATACACACACACATATATATATATATATATTTGTGAAAAGGTGATAAGGGTATAAAAATTGGAAGTGATATAAGCACGGTTACATAAAAATGATGATGATAATGGTGGCCAACAAGACATGGTACTAGGAAATCCGGTTTTTGAGGAATTAAACATGGCAACATTTAATCAACAAACCGCTCCACTAAATGAGAAGCCAACAGCGTTTATGTTGTTAATAATTAACTAAATAATTATGTCTGGATTATTTGGTTGACAGACAAATGCAACTCACTTAAGCACTAGTTAATTAATGCCCTAATTTTAATTAATTAGTGGGTTTTACTAATTTTTAGGACACACCCTTTTGCTTCCTTGTGTCTTTAGCCCCTAATCAAGAGCTAATTTTTCTCGGGTTTAGCTAATTGACCTTTGTACACCATTTTTTCATACCCTTCTTCTCCAAAATTCAAATTTGGATGACAGGAAAGATGGTTCGTGTTCGGTTGAATCCAACTGATGGATACTTTCCTTGGAAAAAAGGTGGCTTCTCTTTTATGTTTATATAACATATATATCTTCACTGAATTTTGCCTTCTAATTTCTGCCCTAACCAAACTGTTGTGTACTCTAGTTTATATGCCACTCAATTGTACCTCCCAAATATTTTTGGTAGAAATTTAAACAAAGAATACTGCTTACTAGAAAATCTGCCCTTGAGATCAAGCAGAAAGCCAGGTCAAACTTGTTTCTCACTTCTTCTTAAAGTCAGAATTATTGCCTAATTCCACTTTCTAGAAAATGTTTCTAATACATGTCCGTATGGGGTTTCAGAAACCTGCCTCTAGCCGTATCTAGAATTGGTGTTCGAACCACATTTACCATATATGTATGTAGATATAGATATATATATATACACACACACACACACACACACACACACACCATACAGGAGACTTCCTTGCAGAAAATCAAAAGAAAAAAGAAAAAGGGGAAAAAAAATGAAGCTTGGTATCCTCGCATACAATCAACTAAATCAATTCAGGAAAAAGACACCCGCTAGTCAGTTATTAAAATTCTGAAACGGAGATAAGCTTTCGGTTGTTAACAGTTGCTCGATCATTAAAGCCAATCAATTCAGACTGGTACGACGCACGTGCGCGCACTAATATATACCCCCTAATGAAGTTTACTGGGCAAGATGTGTGTGTATGGGTATACGGGTGTATAGGGTGCAGTAATCAGAGAACTCAAGAAGCAAGTATTTATGGCCAAATAAGAAACAAATTGGACGGGGTCAGAGGCCAACCCCACGTGCCATGAAAAGCAGAACGGTATTATTCAAAGCACCAACCTCACGTGCAAGGGATCCAATGCCCTTCGGCATTTCAAAAATTAAATCCCAATATATCTAAAGCTAAGAGTGTTTTGAACTGACAAAATATTCCTCCTTCTCTCGTTCAAAAACTATATATATATATATATATATACAAACATTTTGTTTGTTGGTCAAAGGTCAAAGATCCAGAGAAGTAACAAAGATGATGGGGGGTTTTTTTTTTTTTTTACGGGGAAGAGAGATTTAGAGGAACAAACAGGAAGGTGGGTCAGCGTGCGAGCCGCACGAGGGGATCCCTCTGCCCCCTTTTGCCCCTTTGTGTATGACTCAGGCCCACTTCGGTCTGTTGGAGAGGGCTTTGTTTATTTGCCTGTGCCTTACTTCCACATGTGCCATTATATTTTACGTGCCCTTGTTTTTAAGGGCCAGACCACGTGCGCTGCCTTTTTCTAGATACTACGACTGCCCACGTGAGACCATCTCATGATTCTAGTGTCCCAACGCTCTAGCTGAGTATGCTTGGTTCCCCCCTTCCCATGTAATGATCGCTACCATCATCATAACATCATAATTACAATCAGCTGAATGATTGTGTGCGGTAGGGAGAGGATCAGGAGGATCGGCTATTGTTTTATTCTAATTGGTTCTTGACCTGACGCCTATTGGGTCTGATCTAATGTTCGTAAGCAATAAAAATGGACACGGCGGGTCCTGTCACAACACAAGGTTTTTAACATTCTTAAGTTCGGATGACAGGCACATGTGACCTAGAAATATTGAAGTTATATTCAATATCATAAGGCTCGGTTATATAACAGGGATATAATAGTAGAAAAATAGAATCAATCAAATACATCTACGCTAGACTCACCGGTAAGTACTTGCTATTGTAGACAACAATTTGCAAGTGAATGAATTTGACATCTTTTGAACGAGGCTATCAACATCTTATGTTGGAATCTTGTCAAACGTATATAAACATAATATTAAAAAAAAACAAAAACAAAATAAATCCAGCGATACAAGGATAGTTGCATACGAGCCAGTAGATGTTGCTATACTCGCTGTTAACGAAGTTGTAAAAGATAATTTACAATAATCATTTCTATATCGTATAGTAAATACCATGCCTTTGCTATAATTAGTCCTTAAGAATGCTATTATCACCTTTTTAGATCTCATCTAACGCAATTTCTATGTAAACAAATTGGCATACAACAAATCAAGGTAGAATATGGTATGATAGAGCCAGCTATGGAGAAGATGGTAGTTCAAATTAATCAAACCTAATCTCAAGGCTTCTGAGCAGAAAACATGATGAAAGACTGCTGAACTTTCTTCGTGAAGTTTACAAGACCACATGAGGTGCACAAATCCTCAATCTCTTCCTCCGTCAAATTGTTATAGGTTCGCATCGCCCTCTGCCACATAAGTGAACAGGATGAAATCCAATTTTATAGCATCAGACAGTTTCCAATTAAAAGCATAATTCATATTTCCATATATTTGAAATAAGTAACAAAATTTAAATGGATACCAAAACGACCCCATTTACAGCACAAAAATGCTTTTTTTATGGATCTACCCATCTACAAACTAGTACTGATGTTTGATTGCTTAAGAACTTGACAACTAGAAATGTGGTCATAGATCAATCTATGGTCTTCAAAAGTGCACACACTATACACTAAATAAAAGAGTTGAATGAAGATGACCAGACTATCACAATCTATGTGTAATCACAGTAAACAAAGAAATCTTCGAGATTGTAAACAGGTTAGAACAGCCAAAACAATATCCCATGTCCATAATGTCAGAACCAAATAGACATGGATTTTCACTGTCCACCTACTAATGGAGCACACTAATTTTATCAAAATAGCTGAGATTCTGACAGATTCGTGATAAAATGGGAACATCATAAAACAGATAAATCAATCCACCAGACATGGTCACTGAATTCATAAACCTTCTCTTTAAGTTGGATGATGAAATTGAAACGCCATATTGGTATCTTTCAAGAAAAGAAAAAAGGAAAAAAAAACCCTGATATTTGGCTGGATGGTCGAGCAAATGTTTGTAACATGCATACTTTGTCAGCAGCCCAAGCAAACGGAACTGGGCTGCTTCCTATTTTCAGGGACTAGTTGATGAGAGTGAGAGCACTATTACCTGTAAGAAGGGTCTTATCAGCTGTGGAGTAGAAGAACTGTATCTAAGAAATGTTGTTCCAACAAAAACTCCACCACTTTGTAAAATACGACTGATTTCAGCAACCTGGCAAACATCCATCAGATAATGTGAGAAGTTGAATTAAGAGCTAGTAGAACATGGTTTGAGGAAATGAGCATTCATATACAAAGAGCAAGCTGCAAGCCACAGATTGAAGGACAAATACTTGACCTTTACTGGGGATGTAACCCAATTTCTATGATCATCACTATCTCTCAAAGAAAGCATGAAATAAATTG